TAAAAAACAAAATGAAGCATTAAATCAAAGAATTCAAGAGGCACTGAAAACTCGTGTTTATGTATGTTAAAAGTTACACTCCCATAAGATGTTTAACATTCTTAAATTAAGGAAATAGCCATTGTATTATCATAATTTATACTAACTATATAACATCACATTTGTATTTTTGTTCTCTAACATTCTAAAATTTTAAAATTGTATCTACAAATGTAAAACTCAGTAAGTTAGTGTATGAATTATTCATCATTTCAGATTTTAAACTGTAGAACATACGTACTCTTAAAGGACCTTTTACTTGGTCATCTTGCACCAATTGTGTAGTATTGTCCTGTTTCAGGAGTACCTGAAAAATATTTTTGCACAATAATTCATGTTAGTTTTAAAACAATACATTTATGGTAATTCTCTAACAACAATGTCTTTAATCTATGCTTTCTTAGCATCCTGTGGCTACTTCTGTTATAATACTTATTACATTGTCTTGTATTTATGTTTATTGTCTCTCTCTTTAACTGTGAGCTCCTTGAAGGCTCTAGTCCTCCATCATCACTACAGGCCCAGCAGTTAGCAAATGTCAATGCATTTTATAGGCACTTAATAAATGTTTGCTGAATTAATGAACTATAACTAAGATTATTAAAAACATTTATATAGGAAAATTACTATAAGGAAACACAAAAAATGTTAATATTAGTATTTCTAAGAGGTAAGCTTATGGGCATTAATCCTTCGGTACATTCTATATTTCCAAATATTGTACACGAATAATGTGTTAAGTTTTTTTCTGGTCATAAAAGCATCTTAAAAATAAATTTCCTAAATCATTTTTAATGCTATCTTGAAAACACAATTCCCACTGTATTATTATTCCTATTCACTTGAAACCATCTCAATGTGAACATCATGCAAAAAGAAATTACAGCCTAAGTAAGCATGATGCCACAAACAGGAAAGATCCAAATGATAGGAAGTATCATGAACATGGTATTTTCATGGAAGCACTTTGAAATAATTTCTCATTTTGAGTTATTTCTCAAACCTTAATGTGCTTTTCCTATAGTTTCATGTATAACAGTGCTTGCACAAAATAATGATCCAATAAAGAAATGTTGATTTGAAGTATGCCTCTCCTCCCCAACACTTTTCAATCTAGAGTTATTAATGCTGTTATATAAAAAGAAAAAGAAAAATTACCTTAACTTTTACCAGTCTTTTCACAGTCTTAATTTTTGCCTCACAGAAGGCACCTCGGTACTTGGCACTTACATCAGTTCCCACTGTCAGATAGGCAGGCTCATCAGCCGCCTGATGGAAAGAACAAAAAATGTGAATTTCACTACTATTTTCCCCTACTCCAAACTCAAGTCTCATTAAAAGGTTGTGTTTAAAGTAATAAAAACAGTAACACTATTGGTTTATTAGCATCAGTGATAATTCAAAAATACCCCAAAGCAAACACTTTATTAACAATCTTTTATTTTATAAACTATATCCTGATAACATAAAACATTTAAATTAAAACTGGGCCGTAACCGGTTTGGCTCAGTGGATAGAGCGTCGGGCTGCGGACTGAAAGGTCCCAGGTTCAATTCGGGTCAAGGGCATGTACCTTGGTTGTGGGCACATCCCCAGTAGGAGGTGTGCAGGAGGCAGCTGATCGATGTTTCTCTCTCATCGATGTTTCTAACTCTCTATCCCTCTCCCTTCCTCTCTGTAAAAAATCAATAAAATATATTAAAAACAAAACAAAACAAAAAACCTGGGAAGTATCAGTAGGGATATACAATTTTTTTCTCCAGATACAATATGTTTCAACAATTCTAAAATTTATTTAAAAATTAAAAATAAGAAAAAAACAAAAAATATATGCACATTAAGTGTCTCATAATACTTTAAATTACTCAATTATGGTCTCGGGAAAATTTTGTTTTCAAATAAAAAGATAATGCTATTAAAATTAATATCAACAATACATAATTATATGCTTATTAATATAGCTACATAAAGGCAACATCTTTTCAGGTACGGTATAATTGTACAGATAAAAAATGAAGCCAATCCTTTTGATAAGGAGAGCATTATTTGAAAAAAATCATTGGCTAAAAGCTGCATTTTAAAGGTTTAAGTCTGATGAATGCAGAGATATGAACTGATGGCACAAGCCTTGTAGCCATACCAGCTTATCACAGTAGTCTTTTGGGCATATACATATAAGAAGCTTTGCTAAGAAATACCTACTTTTAGACAATGGCCATAACACACATTGAAAGATGTGAGAAATTTCATTCTACGATTCATTTTAATGTTGACAATAACAGTGACTGCTACTTCAATCTATCATTTTACCTATTTTTTTCAAAAGGTAAGGTACCATACAAGTTTGATTCAACATTGCCAAGAGCAAAAGTTACAGTGTACACACTTAAGAGACACATTTTTAAGTAGGAAATGATTGTACTTTTCCAGTAAGTTTTCCCAAGTAACATTAAAAGTTATATGTAACCTTAAAAAAGATAAGTAACATTAAAGGTCACTTTAAGAAGGCAAGAGAAAATTTGGGAAAACGCTCTATTTCAGGGCTTAATATACTGAAATAGTACATGACTAAGAAATCAAGAACCTCTTAAAGTTAGTGTATTTTCAAATAATGCAAACTGAAAAGGAATACTTTTAGCAAGTAAATAGCTGACCTGAAACATTCAATCCTACAGCACTAGACTGCTATCTCCTTCTTCTCCCTTAAACATCACATACGATGTTTGCAGTATTAGTCTTCAGAAGAAGATACACATATTTTTTGGTCAGCTACAGGCTGAAAATTATTTACTATAACGACCGAACTAAAGCTGTTAGTTTTGTTCAACTTCAAGTATTTTAACCACAGAATTTCACTTTACCTCCAACAAAAATGATACCTCCCTTACACAATCCACCTATTTTTTTTTCCTTCGAAAAAAATCACACTGGCACTGAGGAAGAATAAAAATATCCCCCCAAAATCCCCCAAAGAGCCAAAGCAGGACAAAAGCTTTTACTTCTGCAAAGATTGCTGCCAACACAGGAAGTGTTTAAAAATACTAGCCCAATGGACAACAATGGAAAGGCTGCAGCAGCCTTTCCAAAGTGCTGCTTCCGAGATGGGCCGAGCTGCCTGCCTCTGGACACAATGATCACTTCTCGCCCATTCAACACGTCCTGCTTTTCAGAAAGCGCTGCCTGGCCGAGAAACCCATCCTGAGCAGCCAAAGGGAAAAATAATGACATTCCACAGCACTAGCCTCACGACAGCCAAGTGTCCTGGGCACGAGGTTCGGAGCAGCGCTGACTCCACTTACCTTCATTTTCATCGGTGACCTATGGGGTTCCAGCTCCACCAGCGCCGTCCTCCGCCGCTAGAACCACGGGGAGGAGAAAGACAAGCCAGAAATCAGTCTCCGCGGGGGACCGACCCAGGAAAAGAAAGTAAACAAACGCCGGCGGGGAGGAGCAGAAACCTCACCGGCCGCGGGAGGAGAAGATCCCCTCGGAGGGCACCCGGGACGCGGGAGCCGAGGGGGCAGCGAGCACCCCGCCGGGAAGAATTAGTAGTGGTATGGTTTCATCGGCTATTGAGTGCTAGCTCACCCAGCATTGCATTTCATTCCTCGCAATCACCCAGGAGCCAGGTACCTTTATTAGCTCAGTTCCATAAATAAGAGAAGTGGAAGTTAGGGAGGCTAAGGATGTGCCTTGGGTTAGCCTGGCTTGGAGGGGCCTGGAGGCTCAAACCCAGATCTGCCTGATTAAGCCTATTCACTTAACCACTATGCTTATTCCCCGAAGGGGCCAGAGCCGAGGCCTTCAGCGGGAGGCGCGAGGGTGCGGGGACACCCGCGGAGGAGGAGGGGGCGGAGAGGAGGAGGGAGGTGGCCCGGACCGTGTGTGGGAGGGGAGGGGAGGGGAGGGGAGACATCCATGGTTATTTTTTCTCACCTAAAAATAAAGCCCGAGTCAGAATGTGTGAAAACAAAGCGCTTAGACATATCTGGGAAACCAGCAGCACGCACCACCATCAAGGACACCCTCCTGGGAGGTGACCACTGAGTTGGCCATGTCTGGATCCAGCTCCCCGTCCCATCCTGGGCCGTGATGTCTGTCCACCATCCCTCATCCTCAAGCACCTCCCTTAAGACTAGAGTGCTTGTTAGGGTCTGATTCTGTGGGAGTCAGGGGGTGAACTGTGACTCTCCTCCTCTTTTTAACAACC